AAAATAGTCTCACCATCCGTTCGGAAAAAAAAAAAACAAAAAAAACTGACCAGGTTTTCTGGTCACCCATGTACCCTGGGCGGGTGGGTACGGGGCCAAGGTCGCCTGAGCGGGTGCCTTGGAGGGTAATGTGGTTTGCTGCACAACAAAGGTCACAAGATCGACTGTTTGATGGGCTGCGATCGGCCCTTCTTTGGTTCCTTTTTTGGGGACTTGTCTAAACTCAAACATCCCTCGACTTAGACATTTTCGGTTCCATCAGTGTCTAGAAGGTGGGATTTCATGTTCTCACCTGCTCTCTTTTCCCTTTTCCTGCAAGTCAGCCGCTCCTCGTCACTGGAGCGCTCGCATTCATAACTTCATCCGCCGGGGATAACAGCTGATGACTCCCAAGAGCTCATATCGACGGAGTCGTTTGGCTCAGCACCTGAAAAGACCGTATCCCTTCTGTGCCAGCCAGTCCCACCAAAACCACTTTTGTAAGTAACAACATTTGTCCCTCCACTACGCCCAATCTTCCTGGCCGTTGTTCTCTCTCTTCCTGCTCCTCCCTCCACTTCACCTCACCACCTCCTCCCCCTCGCAGGGGCACATAACAATTCTACGAGTCAACACTCTCTCTCTCTCTCTCTCTCACACACACACACACACACACAAACACACACACACACACGGCACGCGCATGCAGCTTATCCGCTGAGGCACATATCATATTGAGGACGAACGATATCATCTTGCTCTTTGTTTCCCTCTCTCTGCCACATATGCACGCACGAACAAACCAACCAGTCCCTGCAGAGGACTTAAATCCCCAACATCAAAGCCCTCTCTCACTCTCTCTCTCTCTCTCTCCCCGCCGCGCGCTCGCACACTTGCTCAGCTTGCTTACTTCCACTGTTGTGACGACTTACAAGCATATTAGCATACTCTGGAAACACCCTCCTGAACCATGTAACCTCAGCAGTCCAAGAACCTGACTGACAGAACATGTCCACATGCTTCCGACAGGACAAAGCCCGGAGAACAGCCCCTCTACAGAACCACGGCAAACGAGAAGATGATGGATCGATGGTTGGCCCCAACACTTGTTACGATGGTGGGGCAGCAGGGAGCCATACTGGTCCAATTACTGGTCCAAAAGTCTTCAAAACTGAACCACGATGGGGTCCCAACACTTTTTCCTGGCACTTTCGTATGGACATCACGCAGAAAAAAGAGGAGCCTGAGAGAACAAAGCAGCTGTGATGGAAATGATGGTAGTAAATAAGGGATCGAAATCCGATCAAACAAATTAGGCGATCATTGAGCCATCTGTTAGTTGGGCCCCGCAGCGGCCAGGGGGTATTCCCACTGGACAGCGGACCACCATGATGTTCGCTTAACCCACCAGCAGGTCTCAGGCTCGACCTACTGGACCAAAATGTCTGTCAACAACGCAGTAACTCTCTAACTGTCAAATTTAGGGCAGTAAGTTACCAGTGACCCTATTTCGTTTTACACTTTGCATTTACACTTCGCGGTTAACAAGCAGTAACTTGACCGTTAACACGCAATAACTTTGAGGTTAACACACAGTAACTTGGCGGTTAACAGACGGTAACTTCCTGGTCGTTTTACACTTTGCATTTACGCTTTGCGGTTAACAAGCAGTAACTTGACCGTTAACACACACATTAACTTGGCGGTTAACAGACGGTAACTTCATGGTTAACACGCAGGAACTTAGCCGTTAACATGCAGTGACTTCGCAGTTGGCACGCAGTAGCTTCGCAGTTAACACGTAGCAACTTCGTAGTGAACACCCAGCGACTTGGCAGTTAACATGCACTGACTCCAACTGTCAACTTTAGGACAGCTCGACCAACAGTTACCACGTACTAACTTGGCAGTTAACACGCAGTAACTTGGAGTTTAACACGCAGTAACTTGGCGGTTAACATGCAGTAACTTGGTGGTTAACACGCAGTAAATCTAATTGTCAACTTTAGGGCAGCTCAACCCTCTGGATCAAAATGGCTGACGGCACCGGTCAAAGAGAAAACAGGTGATTAAGGAAAAATCATTCAAAAATGGCAAAAGAAAAAGACGGAGTAAGAGAGGAGCCAGCAATGGAATGAACAGTACGAGTAGTCATTGGAGATTGCATCCGCGGAAGAGGGGAACCGACAGATGCTGAGGCAGAGGACAAGAAGAGGGATGGAGATGGACGAGGAGAGTGGACAAGGATTGAGAAGACGAAGAGATGGAAACGGGAAGAAAGAGACTGAAGACGAATAGAGAAAGAGGACGATGGATATGAGAGAGCGGAGCAGGGCCCAACGCACCCGGTTTAGAGATAAGGGAATGAGGGGAGGAGGTGGCATGAAGATGAATACAAGGGGGGGAAAGAACGAGGCCGATGAAAGGAGTGGACAACCACAACAGCTACAACAAAAAATGAAGAGTACAGATGCAAGGAAGAATGAAATGAAAAAAAGCAAGGTAGAGGAACTTACTCCGAGGTTGTGATGACAATGTCAAATGATAAACAACACCGACAAGCCGAATACAATGCAGACCCTGATTTTGCCTGCGGCGTCAGATCGAAGAAAGTCGAGCAAAAGAGCACTGGCACTCCCTTTCAAGCACAGTGAACTGCAGTAACTGTTTCTCTGTCTGATTTCGGCGATGGCCGTCTGACCTGACGGTTGGTTTCCTTTCACGTCAGATCGAAGAAAGTTGAGCGAAAAAGCACTGGCACTCCCTTTCAAGCATGGTGAGCTGCAGTACCTGCTCCCAAAACTGATCGACTGTACGCGATGAAAGAAAATTCCTCTGGACCAATGTCCCAAAAATGGGGTGCGTAGGCGCTAAATCCATTTTGCAGAGCCTTTACTAGTGCCCTCTGTTACTCTGTTTGACACCCCCGCATGCAAAGCGGAAAGGGGAGCCATCGGTTGAGAGGGGGACATGCCTCAGCCAGTTCATTCGTCCTGTGCGCCAAGATTACCGGTCATGCAGGCTAGCCTCTGTGTCGCGTTCAATCCAAATCTGCTTCAAAGTTCCACTCACCTCCTTCGTAGCCCCCATTTCAAGTCACACAGGAGTGTACAGAAATATGGACTGCACTAGATATCAGCCGCTCCAGCCCGGTCGGCCAGCTTGCATCCTGACGAGAGGTGAGGCTAACCCAACCCAAGGGGCTGTCACAAAACTTGGCGGAGTATCATCGTGACTCAGCCATGCATCCACTTAGGGCAGAGAAACATCGGCCAAGGGGATTGCTCGCATGTGTCAATGTCACATACACGGTTCCTTAACACCTGCGCATGCCTTTGTGAGCCCGTTCTCGGCCAAGACACACAGGTCGCCGATCTTCCATCTCCTAGCTGCAAAATTCTTCCCCTACTTTGCGGGAAATGTGGGTGTTGCCATTGTCCTCCTCAATACACGATGCAGTGAATAAAGCGCTAAAGTCCTTGCGGGTTTGAAACGGACTGTCGCCCTCTAGTTAAGAAAAGAAAGAGCCACCCCCCCCTACCCTCTGTAGATCCCATAGCCACAAGGAATGCAGCCACAAACATTAGCTGATGATCTTCGAATTTATTATTTTATGCGAGCAAGCTACAAGCTATACTCTTCTCTCAATATACCTCACACTACCTAGCAATGGTTAGCTGGTCAGCAAGCTTCCATACTAGACTTCTTCGTCTCAGCCTAACCCCTGGTAAAGGATTGAAGCGAGGCGACCCTACCAAGATCGGCCAGGGGGACCAAGCCAACTATCTCAATTGGTCCCGAAGCGCCCCACAGGGCCCACGGGGAATTGGACGGACAACGGACAGTATGACGAATCGGACGCAAAACCTCCTGAATCTTTGTTTCTTTTTCAAAATAGGAATGTAAGCTTTCTCTCTTTTTCAGTTTCTTTTTGTTCAAACCTTCTGCACCAATGAATATGATTTTGTCACATGGAGGAGTTTGTATTTCGATTACAGGTGTTATCTTATCCAATACAAAAAAGATACAAATTACTCAAAACAAATGACACCCAAGTTCACAGGCATGTTTCCACTCGAATGGGTTCCACTTCGCCCCAAAGAATCGCACAATCAGTACTGGCTTTCGCCCCTTTGGAGAAGCAAAAGTGAGCACAAGCATTTTCCCATAGACCAACAGTAACCTATCATTTCGCCTGCGGGCACTCCAATGGTAGTGTGTCATAAGGTACAAAGTACCAATGACAACCCTCAACCCCCTCAGACCCCTATACGCACAAACACCCAAGCCCTTGTAGGCCCCTAAGCCCCTCGGGCCCCTAAACCCAAAAACACCAGAACCCTTCTAGGCCCATTAACCCATTTCGCCCCCCAAACCTCAAAGCCCCATACCCCAAACCCCTAATTTCTTTAAGAAGTGAATGGTAGTCGCATTAGTCAACGCAAACACTACGGTCAACACAAACACACCATATCTGCATCTGTCCTCAGAGAGTACTCAAAAATAAGGCTCCTCAGAAGAAAAGAGGAGACCCTACCCTCTTGTCCCTTTTGAAATTCTAATTTGAAAGGTGATTGTTCCTCAGCTCCACATGAACTAATATGCTCGCACTCGTGCAGTCTTGAATATACTAGTCCTAATTTCAGTGTACTCTAAAACAGTATCATTGTGGCCAGAATCTTATCTTGAAACCTTTGATTCGGCGTCATGCAACACAGTTGCAGGGGTCTGACTGGCACTTCAATTTTTTTCCATATCATGTTGCCATCAGATCAACCGACTTCCAGGAACAAACCTGTTGGACAAGAGAAGAGGTATCGACATGAACTGCACCGACCAACATGCTTTGGATGTTATGATATCGCAATCTAAACCCAAAAAGCTGGGCGACAAAAAATAGCTAGTGCAATGGCAGTCCTCATGGTAACACCTGTTTGGATGATAAGATCCTTATTGCCCCATTTGTGGGTAAAAAAAAGGCGGGGACATCCATGTCCCCAGCAGTAGAAGCGGAGGTGCTCCACTGTTGTCTTCACCCAAATAGAACATGCCCGATCTTTGTAGCTGTATTTGGGGAGATACAGTCATAATAACTCCGCATTCTATTCGGTCGAAGACGGTAGTCACTACTGTGGATATAGAAAAGGCCGCCAGCTAATAAAGAATTGCAGACTATGCAGCCAGATCAAGACCGACCTTCTTTTTCCCAGCCTGCGCCGAGCTTTCGATTGTGGGCTGCAGCCCCAGCCTAGCCTCTTGTAACGGGCCTACGAGTCGGGATCCATAGGATCTGCATCATGTAAGAACAACAGAATCTCAACCTCGTTGCTCCATACATATTAGCACTTGGTGACTACATTCTGACCGAATAGTACACACACAGACTCTCAGTTTTGTGGTACCCCGCCAAGCCCTTTTCGCGCTAAGCACAGAAGAGGCTGACTTCACCCAGGATTCGCAATGCACTT